GGAGTTTGATTCTCACCAGGGTTGCTGTGCGAGGCAGGAGAAGTTTGATAACTCCTCACACAACGCTGGCAAACTTTTTTTTTGTTGCAGATCCATCTGTTTAGAATGCTGGAGAATCTTTTTTTCCCCCTTTAAAGATTTATATTGCTTGCACACTGCCGAAAGAGAAAAAAAAATCTAGATGTTAAATAAATGCATGAATGTGGGAAAGATTCTTCAAGTTTGTAACCCACTTAATATTTAATAAATGTAATAGATCATTTTTATAAATATGTATAGCTTAGATATAAATAAATTTAGAATACATAAGGGATTACAATAGGACACACATTCATCTCTGTTGGCACAGAACAGACCAGGAATGTTTTATGAACATATTAATCCTCATTGGTGAAAATAAATGCCCTCCTCTCCTGCAGCCCAGTGACAGAGTGGTTGGTGGCAGGTTCCTGTTCTGAATTCCATGGAGCTGGAAGTGCAGCCCTGCAAGGAGCTGCAGAGGTGCTTTTGCTGCTGACAAAGAGGAATTGAGGCTGGAATTTGTGGGTGAGGGTGTGAGGCTTTCAAACTCCATCCCATTTTAGGGGAAGGAAGGTGTCAGTGAGTGGTGCTGCCCTGGGAGCAGGGGCTGAAGGAGGGCTGGGAGCTGCAGGGAAGGTGTGCAGGAGGGAAGGTGGAATAAGTGAGGGCTGAGAGAATGGCCTTGCTCATACTGGAATAAAAATCCTCCCTGGGGAGGTCCTGCCCATGGGGGGAGAGTTCTGTGGGTCTGGAACAACAGGCACAGCCACACCTTGGTGGTGCCCCGGGGTCCTTGCCTGGTGATTTTGTGAGAGGAGGCATTTGGATGATAATGTTGATGCTGCTCTTTGGTGAAAGGCTGGGGGGGAAAGGGTTTGTGTAGGAAAACCCCCAAGAAATCAGAATGTTTTGGGGACAAACAGCTTTTCTGCTCAGGGAGGGCTGAGGGACCCCGTGTGTGCTCCGTGGCACTGAGGGACTGTCACCCTCCTGCTCCCCAGATTTGGGGTCACACTTCCCTGATCATGCAAAAAAACCCCACAAAAGGGTGATGAAAGCATCCCCAGTGCATTCCAGAGCAAAGCCAGCTGGGAAAAGCCCAGGTGTAGAACCAGGAGTCTCAAGTGGCAGCACCCAGCTCCACATCTCATCCCCTGCACACAGGAGGAGGAGTGAGAGGCTTTAAAATTCAGATAAGGAGGGTGAGTTTGCAGCTGAAGACTCTGAGCACACTGCTTTCCTGTGATAATATCCCAGATTTGCTTCCACAACTTATTGCACATTCTCTTTTTTTGGTTTTTTTTGGAGTTTTCATTGCAGAAAATTGCCAGGAGGGATGGATTTTGTCTTCCTCAGCTGGCAGAACAATTTTCCACCTGTCGCCCAAATATTTGATGAGAAGGATTATGGTGCAGCTGCTGGAAGTTTATCCTTCATATCCATGGGAAGCAAGAGGGGCTGGTGAAGCAGAGACACTGATATCAGGGGTTGGCTTGCTGAGATGGATCTGCAGCACTTGTGCTGGAAATTCTGACAAAGATGTGAAATGCAGAGAGGAGCACGTTGAGTGCTGCAGTTTTACCCAGTCCCTCGTTTCCCTCCAGTGCTCCCTTTCCTTCCTGCCCTTGTAAGTGCTGGGTTTTGAGGCTGGGGTGGCCTCCTGTGCCCAGCCAGGGCAGCAGATTTGCACCAGCCCAGCAGGAGGGGTTGGGAGGGTCCATCTCAGCATCCCCAGAGGCACTGCCCTGGGAAGGGGCACTTCTGGCAGGAGGAGCTGGAAACACAGGTGGATTTAACAGCAGGAGAAGTGGTTCCTCCTTGGAGGGTACATGTGGATGTCCAGGAAAACAAATGCCCTGGGTGGCAGAGATGTTTAAGATGCATTAATGACAGCAGAGTTGTACTGCAGGGACTCCCCAGCCTGGGTGTGCTGGGCCTGCCCATCCCCTGCCCCTGAATTCCATGGTCCCCTGGGCTTTGGCAAATCCCTGAACCAGAGGAAAGAAAAAAGGCATTGAGGGATTTCACGTGGGCAACAAAAAATGTGGTGTTTCCACCAGTATCTGAGTGACTTCCAAAAACCCCCCTGCCTGTGGGACAGGGGGGTCTGACTGAGCAAATGTTGCTTTTCTGGCTGAATAAATGACTCAGGGTTCGTGTTGGAAACCATTCCATGCAGGAGGAAATGCTGGGTTCTGCAATATGGGGGGTTTTTTTCCATTCTCACTTCCCTGCAAAGCTGAGCACACGTGCAGGAGGCATTTGGCATTATTTAGTTGTGGTTCAACGGGAATCAGCAGCATCAGATCCATGGAAAGGGAAGAATGTGAGGGTCTGGAATGCTGGTCACCTCCAGGTGTTTTTCAGCTCCCTGTCCAAAGGAGGGGTTGGGATGTTTCCACCTGGGAGAAGTCTTTGCCCAGTATTATTGTTGTATTTATTACAAGTTAGGTGGCTTGTTTGGGACACTTCTGACTTTTTTTTTTTTAATATGGAAAGAATAATGCTACTTATTTATTTTAAGTAATTGCTAACTTGGAAGAAAAAAAGTTCAGAACTCAGTTCTTCATTGTTTTAAAATGTCACTTTAACATTTAAATTATACCCTAATCAGTTGTGAAATACTGACTCATCCCTCTCTGCTGCTGTCCACATTTTCTAATGTGGTCTGACAGCAGCAGGTTATTTATTTCATAGAAGAATTTAATGTTTGTTCTCAACTTTTTTCCCCCCCTCCCTTTCTTTTTTGTTTCTGTGATTGCCATAAAAAGATTTAAAGTCCCTCCTGGCCCCGTGTGGGGAGCATAAAGCACAAAGCACTTCCTGAAAGGTAATTTTCCAGCAATGAAAACCACAGAAATTGTGTTTCAGGGTCTGCTCTTCTGTCATTCCCTGCTGCACCCAAACAGCCCTTTTTCTATAGCTCTGAAGGGCCTGAATGCTGAAAACTGGGGGCTGGACATGAAAAACCCTCAGAGATGGGCAGTCAGAGCCCTTGGAAAGTTCCAGGTGCTTTCAGGTTGGGGTATGAGAAAGATGATGCACAAAAGGAAGAGGCCTTAAGTTAAAATTCCATGTATTAAGTGCACTTTGGGAGAGGCTTTGCTTTGCTCAGCAGCTACCTGGGAGGAAATGTTATTTATCTGGGAATGTGCATTTATGGAACATCAGTAATAGCCTCATAATTACATGGTTTAGACTTGACCCTGGAGCAAAATGTAGCAATATCTGTCTGTTTGTTGGGGAGAGAGAGTCATTTCTCCCTCTGTGTGCTGGGATCTGCATCAGTTTGGTTTTCAAGGGCATTAATGGAGCTCCATTTAAGTGAGAAGAGGCACCTTGACTGACCTCGGGATGGGAGAGGTTTTCCTTGGGAAGGAGCCACTTCCCCAGCCCAGCCCAGCCCAGTAACAGGCAGATCATTAAATCCAGGAGGAGATTTGTGCCCTGAATTTCAGTGGGGCTGGGATTTCTTCCTTTGTGTCTTGCCCTAAATAGCAAATTCAGTGGAACGGCGCGGGGTCACCCAGAGTTCTCCAGCTGAGTGGCCCTGCTGGGATTGTCTGCAGCTCCCCCTCCTCCCCAGTGCTGCTGCCTCGTGAAGCACTCGGAGCCTTGATGGCAGTGTGGGATTTCCAAGCCTCTCCAAAGCCTCAGAATGACAGTTCTCTGTTGTTTCCTCCAAAGCACAGATTTAATAAAGCCTGCAGGGACACGGCATCGCCGCAGATTGACAAGATGGAAATTGGCATCAATGTTCAGTGGTAAAACACTAAAACTTGTGCTAATGTTTTCCAAAGTAACGCTGAGGAGGTGGTTTAAAGCACAGGCCTCGTTTGAGAGTCGTTGTGGTTTCCCAGCACAGCCTCAGTGTTTGCACACCCAGCAATGCTGAGTGCTGAGGGACAGGGGCCTGGCTTTAATGGAAACAAAGACAAAGGATGTTCTCATTATTCTGCCATCTGCTAGACCTGGGGAGGTTTTTAGACTCACTTCATAACTTCCCTCTCATCTGACTTAATTTCCTTGTTTGGGTTCAGTCACATCCCTGGTGCCCTCAGCTCTTCCCTTCTCTGATCCCGGGTTCCTTCATCTCCTCTCTCATCCTTCGGCTGGATGTGTTCAGTGCTTTCCAACCTTCCATCACAAATCAGTCCCTTCTGACTTATTTCTGTTGCTGTTCTCTGAATTTTCTCAAAAAAAGAATGACAAACTACCGAGATAAATTCCAGCCCTGCTGGAAGTCAGTGGGAATTTCCCAGGTTTGACCTGATGAGAAGTTCTAGTGAAGGAAAAGCCTGGATTCCAGGGCTCCTGGAATTCAGAAGATGAGGCTCAGAACACTCACTATCTTGCAGTTTCTGGCCCTACAAAAACCACTTTTCCCCTTTGATATCCCCTTCAGGGGCTGCAGGCAGTGGGAGCAGAGTAAAACCCCCTTGAGAATCTCCTCTGGGAGGGGGTGAACCAGCAGCTTGGTTGTCCCAGTGCTGCAGGGAGCTCTTCATGTCTGTGGTTAACACTGATCCCTGTTAAACCTGCAGCAGCTGGCGAAAGGAAATTAAATTCAGTGGCAGGGAGGGAGATTTGGGAGTTCAGGCACCGGGCTGTCACTCCAGGGAGGGAGGTTTAGTGTCTCCTTCTTCCACAGACACTTTCTGGGCAACCCTGGGTGAGTCATTTAATCCTTCTCTGCCTCAGTTCTCCGTCTGTAAAACTGTTCACTGTAGTGCTGCAGTTTCTGATGATTCTGACGCTTCTTTTCTGTCCCTTTTCCTGACAGTTCTCACACTTAAATTATTTGACTCTGCTTGTCTGTCCTTCCAAAGCACAACCCGACAGCTGCCGGCCCCTCTTTCAATCAGTTTTAAACAAAGCCCTGAAGTGGTGTTTCATCAGAGAAACGGCTCAAAGGGTGAAAAACGTGGAAAAAAAAAGTGAAAAACCCATGAAACCCATCTCTGTTTCCCTTTCCTCCCCTTGCAGGCAATGAGAACAGCGAGGCCCTCCCGGAGTCCATCCCCTCTGCCCCCGGGACGCTGCCGCACTTCATGGAGGAGCCCGACGACTCCTACATCATCAAGAGCAACCCCATCGTGCTGCGCTGCAAGGCCAAGCCAGCCATGCAGATCTTCTTCAAGTGCAACGGGGAGTGGGTCCACCAGAACGAGCACGTGTCCGAGGAGAGCCTGGACGAGGCCACCGGTGAGGGCGGGGATGGGTCGGGTCCCGGGAAAAGGTTCTTCCCCAGAGGGTGGTTGGGCACTGCCCAGGCTCCCCAGGGCAGTGGGCACAGCCCCAAGGCTGCCAGAGCTCCAGGAGGGTTGGGATGATCCTCTGAGACTCTTGGGCATGGACCCGTGTGGAAAAAAAATCCCTCTTTCAGATTTAGAAGGACGGCACAAACTCGGGGAGCAAAGAAACAAGGAAGAATTTCTCTTGCTCCCTTCACACTTTCCCTTCATCAAATTTCTGGGGAAAAAGACCCTTTGGGTTTGAACCTTACACATTTCTTAGTTTCACAAATCCCACCCTTTTTCAGATAAGTTTAATATATTCATTTTTACCTGAAAAGGTTTCTTTTCTCTGAAAAGGGGCTTTCCCTTTATCCCGATTGACTGCAAGGGCGTCCCCTGCCAAAGGTGATGGACCTTCCTTTGTTCTTAGCCCAGAGAGAGAAAAGAACCCCCGGGTACAAAATGGCCCCAAAAGAGTTTAATTTTTAGGAACTTTTGTTTTTGCCTTATCTGGCCAAAAAAGACCCTGATACTCCAGTCCAGTTTTTGGAACTTGGACATCTTACAACGCCTATATAAAAAAACCCCATATTTTTATTTCTCATAAAAGTGCTCTGAGTGCAGGTGTGCGTGGAGGAGAAGGGAGTGAGAAGGGAGAGGGCTGGAAACGATCACCAGGTTTGATCAGGTCCCATCACTGCCCTCGGTCTTTTCTCATTTAGCAGCATCTTGATAAGTATTGCAAACCAATTTAATGCCTGTGACTTCACAATTCTGTTTTGTTATTGCTTTTCTCCTCTTCTGAAATTCCAGGATTGCTAGGCAACTCCAGGCCTTGGAATAGCAGAGTGTGTGTGTGTGTGTGTGTGTGTGTAACATCTTCTCTGGCAATACAAGAAATTCCTTTTTTTAGAGGCAAAAACGCCACTTAAAAAGAAGATGCATCTCCTAAAGTGGTGTTTGGCATTCTTTCTAAGTGACATATTCTGAAGAAATTTCGTACTGAAGGTTTTTGTAAATGCTAATCTGGAAGAATTTTAATTTTTACAGTTACCTTTTCGGAAATAACTTAATAGGCATAACCTTTACTTCTGCAGGCACTGCTGAATCAATAGAGGAGAAATCTCGTCTCTGAAAGCTTTCCTTCCATATGGCTGATGAAAATGTGTCTTGTGAATGCTGCAATTATGTTTTCTAAGCCTTGGATTAATAACAGAATGAAACAAGATAAAGCAACACTGAGGGGTTTTTTTTAGATGATGCCAGAAATGTTGAGGTTTGAGCTGTGGAAGCACAGGCTGAGCAAAGGGGGGCTGGAGTGCAGGACCACGGAATGGGTCGGGTTGGAAGGACCTTGAAGCCCATCTCGTTCCCAGCCCTGCAGGGACACCTTCCACGAGAGCACAGGAGTGGTGCAGGTTTGGGTTCAGCCCGGGGATGGAGGGTTGGTCCCTCAAAACAGGTGTGGTGCAGACAGGGCAGGGGCTGGGAGTTCCCAAAACTGCCTGAACAGTGTCCTTGGGACACAGAAATGGGGGTAAAGGCAACGTGCAGGGCAGTGCTGAGGGGCAGACATGGCTCTTCTCTCCCCGTGATGGATCTGTGGCCATGAATTATTTTGGAGCCCAGCCCTCAGTGAACAGCAGACTCCTGGGCTTTTTGGAATGAGTGTGTGTCCTGGCAGTGCTCTCCTTTCTGGAGTCGAATCTGGGGCATAAACATGTCTGTTCCCAGGCACACACAGTGTGCTGCGTGAGCTCCATCTGGAAAAACTGCACTGGGACTGGGGCCAAACCCGGTGCTTTTGGTTGCAGGGGGGTTCTGGTCCCTGGCTGAGGGGAGGCTGCACTGCAGCAGAAGGATCTGTCCCTCCCCACCCTTCCCCTGTTTGTGTGGGACTCACATTCTGAGGGGAGGTGTAGAAGTGGTGAAAAATAGCAACGAGAAACCCAAACAAGGGGAAATTCAGCGCCGAGTGAGAGAAATGTGTCTTGGCATCTCTGTAAACTCCTGCCAGGAGCTGCTGGCAGTGGGACCTGCAGGCACCGTGTCCTGCTGGATGTCCCCGAGCTCTGCACAGGGGACAGGGGGGGGCACACGATGGGGAGGGGTTGGTTTGTCATCCTGATGAACAGAACCCAGTTTTCCATGGTTTTGTTTTTATGGGAGGGGAAATTAAATACCTCAGGGTGGCACAGGAGTCACTGGGAACCTGAAATGGAGGAACAGCAGGAGAGGAAGGGATTTTGTAGTTCTGGGCTGCGCCTTGGGAATGTCCTGGGAATGTCTGGAAGGGTTTGCTCTGGGTGGCTCTGCTGTGCATTTGCTGCTCTGTTTCTGCCTCCCCTGTTCATTCCCTGAACGTGGCAGAGCAGGGACTTTGCTGTCTCTCTTCTCTGGCTCATCAAGTGAGAGCTTGGAGATGCTGCCGTGATAAAAGAATAATAATTACAGTTTGATTCATTTCCTCCTGCTTTCCTTTCCCTGCCTGAGCACTGCCCATGCACTCCAGAATGCCTTTGCAAACCCTCCAGTTCTGGTTTCACCAGAGCATCAGCCCTGCCCGGAGTAACTCGAGTTTCCTTGTCTGATAACTAAAAGGATTACAGCAATAACTGCTGTCAGTGTTTTCCTCATTTAAACAAATAAAGCTGACAAATGCTGAAGTTCTCTGCAGCTCTGTTGTGTTTAGTACATGGAGAGCAATTATTCATCTGCTGCCAGCATTAGTCTATCTGCAGCTAAACCATCCAGCAGAGCAGAAAGCTCATTAGCATATCAGTGCCACAGCCATAATTTCATATTCTGTACGGCTGTACTGTAAAACAAAAGATGATGGTTATAATTTGCACAATAATTTAAAGGGTTGGACTTGCAGTGCTTATTAGAGTTATTCAAGTCACAGGTAAAATGTTGCCCTTGTTTATGATGTGCCTGGTTTTATTTGCATGGATTTTTCATTGGGTGTCATTTCCCAGGAACAATTTTTCTGGTGTTTCTCAAGATGCAGGAGGGGAGGTGAATGTGTTTGCTGGTGAAATACAGGGATGAAAAATGAAGAATGTTCCTCTCCTCCCAATAGGTTTGCTTTCTGTAGTTGTTTCTAAAACAAATGAAAATAGCTCTGCTTTCTCCATAAACAAAAGATAACTTTCCCCAAAGACTCGATGTTCTCCAGAGGCCCCGTCCAGCCCCAACAATTCTGAGATTCTGCTGTTTTGGATGCATTTATTTTGTCTATGGGTAACCTGGGAGACCTTCAAAAAGACCTGAAATCCTACCTGGCCCATTCTCAAAACACTGATCCACCAGCTCCCCCAAATCATGTGCTGTTTGTTTGCCACCTTGAACGTGGGCTGATTTATAGACTAATTAAACACCATGTCAATGAGAGGAAGAGCTGGGCAGGAGAATATTCTGCCTTAATAAATCCAGGGCTGTAAATGCCTGAATTCACTGACGCCTGCCCAGAAATGTGCAGTGCCCACGAGCCAAGAAATGGCTCCTGCTTCTCGAAAATTCATCATCAGGGGGTGATGACTTTTTTGGGTGGGTGTCAGCAGTTCTGTCACTGTCAGCCTGGATGCACCAGGAACCTGCTCTGAGACCTTTGTTTGCTGCTTCCCCAAATGCCCAGAGGGGCTCAGGGTGGAGGGGTCAGAGCCCCCGGGGTCCCAGGGGGGTCAGCAGGGCTGCAGTTCATCCCCAGGAAGATGCTGCTCAGAGGTCCTGTTGGGAACCAGCTGATGGTGGGGTGGGAGGATGGCTGGAGATGTTTGGGTCCAGCAGGAGGCTGAGCTGTGTTTGCCACGGGATCATTTAGGCTGGAAAAGAGCTGTGAGATCATCAATCCAAGCATTTGCAGGCAGCACAGACACCCAGGCTGCAGGGACAGAGGGGCTTGGAGCTCTGGAGTGCTGGGTGAGTGATTCCTGGTGGGGCCAGCCCACCTGGAAAGGTCACTTTGTCAAGGACTTCATCACTTCTCACCCTTGTTGAAGCCTTTAAGCAGATGGGGTGTGACCTGGTTGGACAGTGTGGATTTGGGGGGCTCTGGAGCTGCACAGCTCTGACTGAGATCGCTCAGGGGCTGCACGTGGCTTGATTTGCCAGAGGTGGGGAGCAAGAGGTGCCAGGGGTGTCATTCATGGATGTCTCTCCATGTCCCACAGCCTGGGGGGTGCTGGGATGCCAAACTCCAGCCAGTGAAGACCTGCTGGGGGGGGTCAGCAGCACTCAGGTGCTCTCCAGGGGATCTCACTGTGCCTTGTCTAACCCTAAACCTTTCCAGATCACCATAAAATGCTCTGATCCTGGGATTTATCCCTGGCAGGGCAGCTGGGCTGGGGAAATGGGGCATCCTCGTGGCAGTGGCAGCAGGGAGGGGTCTCTGGCAAAGCTGCCCCTTCCAAGGGCCGGGTTTGTTTCCCGAGGGTTTGTTGTCAGAAACCCACGGGAGTGTTTGTGAACAGCTCTGTTAAAAACAGCACCGACAGGGGGAAAACGAAACGTAAATAAAAACAACCGGGAAACCTCCGTTTGTTTGTTTATCAGAGAGGGAATAAATATTTGAGTGACTGAAGTGATTTTTGAGACAGCTGGGGCAGCTGTAACAGGTTTGTCTTTGGGTGTTGGTGTGGAGCCAAACAGGCTAAATGAAGAGAAGTAAAAATCCCCTTTGCCTGTTGCCGGAAAAGTGGCAAATACTTTGTATTTTTGTATGTGTCGAGTGGTATTTGAGCTTGTCTGACCATCCCTGCCCCTTTCTGGAGCACCCCCAGTGCTTTTTGCCATCTCTGCTGTTTGCCAGAGGAGCACATTGACTTCCCAGTGCCTTTGAGGAGTGAATGCCCAGCTGTTAATGATGCCTGAGATTAAGTGGAAGCCAATTTTTATGGAGTTCAGGCTTAGAATTCTTGCTGCTTTATAAACTTCACAGGCATGAAATACTTTAGGATCGAGTTTTCTTTCATTTCCAGTGAAGGGGAAATAAGTGTCTTGGGACTGCACAGGAGGAGAAAGAAGGAAGTACAAGGCATAAATGTTTTCTATTTTTATTTAATGTCTTTCTGACTCTTTCAAATGATTCCTAGTGCCTCTGAGCCCAGATTTGGGTTATGTTTCCCCTCCCAAGGTTGTCAGACAGAGGTGGTTGCAGATCTGGTGTGTAGGATGAGGTGTCAGCTGCAGGAGGCTTCTTGAGGGCTTGAATTTACCATCAGGCTTTGGCTGAAGCAAATGCTCCTGGTCTGAAGGGCCCCAGTGCTGAACTTCACCTGTGCTTCAGAAGGGTTTTCAAGGAGATGTCAGATCAGAAGAGTTTGATTGCTTTTTGTGAAGTTCCAGATAAACATTCTGGGCGAGGGAGGCACCAGAGAGGAGGTTTCTGAGGGGGGTTGTTCTGTGCTTGCAGAGACCACAGTGGGTAATTCACATACCTGCTCATCTTACAGAACTTAATTAGTGGCAATATATTGCTGTCAGAGTAATTAAATCTTCGCCTTGATTAAAACTGGAAAGCTGTCAGTTAAGAGGAAAGCTTTGGGTACCTCTGCCCGCTCCCATCCCCGCTGACTCTGTGCCTCTCCTGCTGACTCTGTGCCTCTCCTGCTCACTCTGTGCCTCTCCTGCTCACTCTGTGCCTCTCCTGCTCACTCTGTGCCTCTCTCCCCGCAGGGCTGAAGGTCCGGGAGGTTTTCATCAACGTCACGAGGCAGCAGGTGGAGGATTTCCACGGCCCAGAGGATTACTGGTGCCAGTGCGTGGCCTGGAGCCACCTGGGCACCTCCAAGAGCAGGAAGGCGTCGGTGCGCATCGCCTGTGAGTGATGGCTCTGCTGGGCTGGGCTGGGCTGGGCTGGGCTGGGAACTCTGCTCCTGGGCTCCAACACCACCAGCCAGCTCCTCAGGCACTGCTGGCCACGGCAGCCCTGGCTGGGGGACACCCTGGGAGTATCCCAGGAGGTGACAGGTGTCAGGAGAGGGAAAAAATCTCCTCCCTCCTTTCTCCGAGGAAGGAGCACATCCCTGGCAGAGCTCAGGTGCCACAGGAGCTCTGCTGGTTCTCCCTGGGCTGAGCTCACAGGGCTTAGAAACAAAGAGTGTTCAGTGCTGGTCATGGAGACATTTGTGGAAGCACTGCTGAAGGGAATGAAATAATTCCCAGGCAAGGTGGGTGCTGTTGCACTTCTTTAGCTCCAGAGCTGATGTTCTGTGCCCAGACTGGGCTTGTCTCTGTCCATGTGTGTGACAGTGAGTGTGGGCTCATAACTCACAACCAGCCCATCACTGCTGGAAAGGTCCAAAACAGGCCAATGCAATAAATGCCCCCATAGCCAGAGGGACAGAAGGGAGACAGAACCCAAATGCAATTGTGGCCGTGAGACTGTGGAGCTACTCAAAGCCTCATCCAATTTGGACCTTGCAATTGGATCTGGGATGGTTTTCTAACAGAATCAGAGCCTGAAGCCCCTCTTTGCCAGCAGAGAATTCAGGGAATTGCTCCCCCCAGACTGCTGTGAACCCTTTCCCTTTAAATCACCACCCCAGGTCTTCCCTTTCCAGTCCTAGGAAATGAGGCAACAGGAGGGAGAAATGGTTCCTGGGAGGAGATGAGGGCAGCAGGAGAAGGCTGGGGAGGTCCAAATGAGAAACTCTGAAGAGTAACCTCCCAGCTGGTGTTCCAGCAATTCTTGATAAATCTAAAATGGTGTCTTTTAACAAGATAAATGTTTAACAGGACGAAGTAAACATCTGAGAGAAGTAAAAAGGACAATGTGACAACTCCTCCATTTTACAAATGGCAGATTTATTTTTTTTTTGTTGCTGGCTGATTCTGTTTGAATGTCTAAATACCTATAAATTCAATTTTTTATTTCACTGCATTAACTGTCACAACACTGAGCTAATAATTCCCCTGCACTGCTGAGCTGCAAAGGGCCTTTATCTGAATTGAATTTTTATTGACTTTTCTCCGCTCTGTGATTTCCCAGCCCCCCAAAATGACAATTGGAGTCCAGCTCGGAGCGAGCAGGAGCAGGTGGGGCCACACTGGGATTTCAGGCTGTGGCACCAGCCCTGCACAGCCCCCCCAGCTGCCACCCCGGATCCCATTAACCTGTCCCTGCTCCCAGGGGCTCTTCAGCCCCGCCCTGGAATGTTCTGAGTGCTGTGGCTGAGAGCTGAGCTCCTTAAATGCCTCTTCTGCTGCCACTTGGCCTTGAAAGTCAGGGCTTTTTATGGGAAGAGCAGCAATTCCTGAGGGCAGGGATGATGGGGCTGGGCAGGGATGATGGGGCTGGGGAAGGGATGATGGGGCTGCAGGGGATGATTGAGGAATGGGAAGGGATGATTGAGGAATGGGCGGGTATGTGGGGCTGGGGCAGGATGATGGGCTGGGCGAAGGGATGATGGGGTCTGGGCAGGGATGATGAAGGGCATGGGCGAGGGATTATGGGCTGCGGCAGGGGATTGATGAGGATGGGCGCAGGGATGATTGGGTCTGGGCAGGGAGTGATGAGGATGGGCAGGGATGATTGGGCTGGGGAAGGGATGATGGGGCTGGGCAGGGATGATGGGGCTGGGGAAGGGATGATGGGGCTGGGGAAGGGATGATGGGCTGGGCAGAGCTCCAGGCAGAGCTGCAGCAGGAGCCTGGAACCCCCCCAGACACCCAGAGCTCCGAGTGCCCAGGGCTCTGTGTCATCCTGTCCGTGGGGAACAACCTCCCTGCTGGACCTGGGATGGGATTTCTGACTGAGGGAACCTGGGATGTGGATTTCTGACTGAGGGAATGCCCTGTGGAGCACGGGGGATGAGCCTGGCAGGTCCAGACACTACCCAGGATGTGTTCCCAGCACCTTTGGGGTGCACAAGGAGGAACTGAACACTTTTTTCCTTCCCCTTTTTTTTTTTGTTTTTCTTTTGCACTTAAGTCCCAAAGATTCTTGAGTTGTGAATCAGGTCCAGAGCGTTGCAGCACTGTTATATTTCTCTGGAAAAAGCAGGTGAGTATTTCTGTGTGATAGTGGGGGAGGCAGAGAAAATGAGAAGATGGATCTTGCTCCATTTTTCATCCTAATAAAGGCATTTGTAGGCACAGCTGCAGCTCGACTGTTAATGAATGGCTTTTTAAACAGAGGACTGGAAAAGATGTTGGTTATCCATGGGGAAAAAAAAAATCAACATCAACAGAGAACGATGAAAAGGAGAACCCAGGCACTGTGTGCATCTCTCTCCAGTGAGCAGCTTGCCAAGACAAGTCTTCCTGTATTTTGTGTAATCTGTGGAAGTGGGACTGCCTGGGAGCTGCTGCTGAGCCAGGGCTGGATTTCAGCAGGTGTGAGCAAGGCAGGGAATGAAGGCAGTAAATCCACCCTGTGGAGTGTGAGACAGTGTGTGAAGACACCGAGTGTTCCCAGTGGAACATCCCTGCTCTCCCAGCACGTGCAGGAAGGAGCATTCCTGGTGTTCTGTTCTCCTCCCATGGCACAGGAAGGAGCATTCCTGGTGTTCTGTTCTCCTCCCATGGCACAGGAAGGAGCATTCCTGGTGTTCTGTTCTCCTCCCATGGCACAGGAAGGAGCATTCCTGGTGTTCTGTTCTCCTCCCATGGCACAGGAAGGAGCATTCCTGGTGTTCTGTTCTCCCATGGCACAGGAAGGAGCATTCCTGGTGTTCTGTTCTCCTCCCACGGCAAGGAGAACATCCCATATTCCCGGGCATCCCTGGGGCAGGTCTGGGATGTTGGATCCAGCTCTCCTTTGGGTCTGTTCTGGTTTGCCCAGACACTTGTCCCTGGAAGTGCTGCCACCACATCAGTGTGGCCGAGACATTCCTTCCCCTCAGCTGGGCTGGAGTGTCTGCAGTGAAGAACCTTGGAATTGCTTGGAATTGCTCTCAGTCCTTCCCTACAACTCGCTGTGTGTGCAGTCCAGAGGACACATCCCCCTTGGGATGTGCTGTCAGACCCTCCCCTGGGCAGGGGGTGCCAGGAACATGGGCCACCCAGGCTTGGCTTCTCTCAGCTGGTTCTCCCGGCACCCTCAGAATTCCACAGGGTTGTTTTTTTGCTTTCAGTTCCCCTGTTTTGGGAAGGCAGCAGCTCCAGGGAGTGAATGCCCAGCTGGAACAGGGGAAGGGGTGGTTCTGGCGTGAGTTGTGTCTGCACTCAGGTGGTTGTGGAAAGGTGGAGAAATGGGAACACAGCTGGAGGTGATGGGATCTGGGCAGGAATTAGGAACACTTGGTTATCTCAGGGCAGGCTCACCCTGCAGCCAGCACAGGGCTCTTGGGGCAGGAGTGGCCTTCGGAGGGGTGATGGATTCTGATGAGTTCCTGCTTTAAATCCTGCAGACCTGAGGAAGAACTTCGAGCAGGACCCGCAGGGGAAGGAGGTTCCCATCGAGGGGATGATTGTCCTGCACTGCCGACCCCCCGAGGGGGTCCCTGCGGCCGAGGTGAGGCTTTGGGGGGGGCAGGGGAGCAGCAGGAGGGCTCAGCTCTCTACCCAAACCCAGGAGAGTTCTCTGAGAAATCCAGGTTTTGAGACAATCTCTGGTGTTTTCGTGCTTCCAAACCGAAAACAGATTTTTCGGCTCGTTTTCTCGGGGGTTGCTTTTCTCCTTGAAAAGAATAAAAAAAAAACAAAGGGAAAAGACAAACCTAAAAATATTATGATGAATTGTTGCTGGAGAAGGGAAAATCTGCTGCAGATAGTAATTTGGTGGGTTTTTGCTTAGCTTTAAACATGTTTTTTGTCATGGGAGTTGAATCTTAACAGGAAACTAATGGGGATGCCTTAAAATGGCCCCGACCAGGCTGTTCTGGCAGGGAGATGCTCTAAGTGGGTCGTGGTTAAAAATCTGCTACAGAGGCTTTAAAAACAACAAGAAAACGTTGTGTTTCTAATTGCACTCTGCAGGCTCTCCAGCATCTTCTGAGGAAGACAAACAGGTTCGCTCAGAAGTTATTTTTGCCCCTTATCTCCCCCATCACTGGGGTTTGTTCTGACTGAGGGAACAAAAGGAGTGAGGGAGAATAAACTCCAGAGAAATGTGTGTCTTTTAGCCAAGGAGGAGAGTGTTGGGCAGATGGCACTGAAAATAAAGAGGAGAAATGCAGCAGAAAGGGGTGCAAAGGCCCTGCCAGTGAGGTGGGAATGGTGCAGCCCCAGAGGAAAGGGAGTTGGAAATGAGGATGAATTTGTGTCCAGGTTTCTGATGTGCTTTACTGTGGCATTCAGGTTTCTGCTCCCACCTTCCCCTCAGCTGTGTTATTTTTACTTGTGTTTAGTGTTTCTAGAAAAGTGAATGTTGCCTTACAGAGAATTGCCAAAGTTACTGAATGTGTGCTCTGGTAAATGGATCTGTTGCGTAGACAAAACAAACTTCCAGAGGTGCCTAAACATCCTTGGTCTGTTTGAGTTTCACTGAGAATTTCAGGATTTGTTGAACTACACAGCTTCACACTCCCCAGTTAAACAGAGGCTCTGTCTTCTGTGGAAGTTAGGAATTATATCTGATGGAAGAGTGACATTTTAGTAAAATGGTGGAGTTCCCAATAAACCCTGACATACTGATGTTGACAGTAAACTTGTTATTGCTGTTAATAAAGCCTGTAAATCTCACCAGGTCATATTTGCTTTGGCCAATAACATTTCCCATAAAGGCTCAGGCTAATTCTGGGCCCATCAAGGTAAAGAGGCTGCTGGAAATAATTCAGTGGGTCTGGGTTAAATCAGTCCTGGCTCTGGGCTGGGACTCTGAGCTCGAGGTTCTAAACTCTGCTGGTACCTTCCAGTGAAAGAACAACCTGCCCTGTTACACCCAGGGGTGAGAAATGGCTGGGACAGCCCCAAACCCCACTCAGGGATTGTTCTGGGGGTGCTCAGAAGTGCAGGAGGTTCAAACCCCAGTGCTGGCAACAAACCCCGTGGTTCTGAGCCAGGAATTTATTTCATTAGAGTTTGGATGAAGCCCTGGGTGAAAACACAAGGCTTGAAATAACTCTGGACAAAGGAGCTCGTCTTGTGTTTCATTAGATGCAAAGTGGATGCTAATTGTGGGTGGTTGTTGTTGTTTGTTTAATCCACACTGGGCCCGGGCTTGGAAATGGGAACTGAAAACAAAGGGATCCCAGATTCCAGCCCCTCCTGTGTTCCCAGTGTGTGTCTCAGTCCCTTGGGGAGGGTTTGGTTATTCCATCAAGAGCTCAGGAATGTTGTTTCCCCAAAACCCAACCCCATTCCCTGTGTTTGCCCCCATCCCTCGTTAATCCAGGTATTCTGGCAGAGGCTGGGAAGGGCTGGGACAGTGGAACCTAAACCTGGAGTGAAGCCTCAGTTCAGCCCAGTTGTTCCTGTGAACCTGCCCCACTGTCAAGGATATAAATCTTCGTGCCTGGAATTGTTTTTCTGGATCTTGGGGGCACTGAAGGTTTCTGAAACCCGAGGCTGGAAACACTGAATGTTCTTCATCTACCCCACTGCTTAATGTGAAAATCCCTGTCATTAGTCCTGAGGAAGTGGAAGGCAGGGATATTTCCTAGGGACGGCTGACACAGTTTCCTTGGAATTACCTCGCCAGGAGGGAGAAACTTTCTCTGCCACCGTTCCTTTCCACATCTTCAGTCACTCCTCAGGTGCTCTCACCTGGTGATTTTAGCCACTGCTCGTCTGCAACCCAGGGAGGGGCTCTCAGCAGTCCTTGGGTGTTCTCAGACAGAGCAGCATTTCCCAGGTGTGTCCCTGCCCTCGCTGTGCCTCTGGGCAGGAGAAGGTTTTGAACTGAGCAGCAGCACTGGGGGCCAGCTCTGAGCCCCCCGAGGGGTCAGCACAGGCCAGTGGTGCCTCCTGGGGCCAATCCTTTAGTGAAATCAGTTATTTGTGGGGTGGGAGGACTGCAGGGATGGAGATCAGCCCTCACAGGGAGGTGATTCTCTGCAGAGAATTCCTCCTGATGAAGTTTTGTTGGGGGAAATGTCTGTTCCCTCCATCTGCTCAGAGGGGGTGAGGCTTCCACCAGCAGCAGTAAGAACACCCAGATTAAATCTGCTTATATGTGTTCATTTCTGCACACAGGAGGTATAAAGACAGTCAGGAGAGGATGCATCAAAGGTCTGGATCCATACTTTAAATGAGTTTAAAGTGTCTGTGGCTTAAAACTCGGCGTGGGTCAGTGAATTTGCCAGGAATTAGAAGCTCCTGTGACACCGTGGCTGCTCTGCCCCCACGGCTCAGTTTGGTAAATAGTCTTTAAGCTGAATAACATGCCAGTGAAAGCAAACAATCCAGGGATTACAAACAGGGAGCAACAGGGGTTTAATTCTGGAGATGAGAGCATGAGACCATTGTGCACACCTCTGCTTGGGATTTGGGGCTCTCTGGGTGCATCACTTGCAGCACTAAGAGAGAAAGAAAACCCAAATCTTGATGCTGGGCAGACAAAAAAGGTTTTGAATCCTCTTCTCATGCATTTACATAGCAAGCAGAGAGAGCTGGTGAGCAGCTGTGCTTGCAGGCATCAGCACCCAACCCAAATAAATTCAGTTTTTATGAGTTAAGCATCGAAATAAAAAAGAAAATTCAGCATTTAAATAGAACAGCTGAAAATCCCCTGCTGTGGCAAGTGTTGATTCAAATCTAACAGAGTCTCTGCTGGCACGGGCTCTGTGGGAGCAGAGCCATTCCTCTCACTATTGATGTGGAGTTGGCCTGGGGAAGAGTCAGTTCTGGCTCTCGGTCCCCCAGCAGCTTCTCCCCACGGAGATGTTCATTAATTGTGTGCAGCAGAGGCCTCCTTTGGCTCCCTGTGTGCCCTGGGGAGCAGTGAGGGATCCTCCTGGGGTCAGCTGAGCTCCCAGAGGGATCCCCCTGCTCGGGGTGTGGTTGTGCTGCCAGGGGGGGACCCGGGCTGGGCTCTCTGAGCCCCCCCTGCCTTGCTGGCACTGTTTCAGGGGAAGGGGCTCTGCTCTTCACTGGCAGGAGGAGGATGAGAGGGGAGGGAGGGCTGAGTTCCCCCAGAAGGTGTGGAGCTGAATGTTGGGTTTGCCAGAGCCACCTCTTCAGCCCCGTGGCTGATGAGGATCTGTGACTCCTCAGCAGGGCTGACCCTGCCCATCACACACAGCCTGTGGTCTGGGGAACACCCTGCAGGAACCCATGAAGGGGAGAGCAGCTTCTCCATTAGAGGGATGTTTTTACAGCGGTGTGTTTGACAGGGACACGACACACGACGTGTTCCTCGGGGTGCATCACCTGCTGCTCTCCCTTGGCAGTTCCCTCCCTTCACACAAGTCCTGGGGCTGCAGAGGAGCCTTTCCACAGCTCAGACAGTGTGTTACTGAGGTGCAGTGTTCCTCCCCCCGGGGTTGTGCTGGTCTCTGGCTGTGCTGGTTTCCTGCTCTGCCCCTGCAGGTTCAGTTCATTGCCCTGCAGGTTCCCGGCAGACACAGCAGTTCTTCACGGGGCACTCCTGGGGCTCAGCACCAGGGAAGCCTCACGCTGCTTTTACATGATTTTTAGAGCATATCCTTGACCTGCAGCCTGGCATAAAACACACTCTGTGCTCGGCCTTGGCCGGGGGTCAGGTCCTGGGTGGGGCTCAGTGGGGATGGGAGGGGGAAACTGGAGCTCCCCCAGCTCAGCCTGCTGGAAACACAGGGAAGGTGGGAGGGGATGCCCAGCAGAGCTCAGGGGACTCTCTGTTTGCTCCCCCAGTTCTTGGGCATTTTCCTCTTCGTTCATCCCAGTCCTGGAAGGAGGCATTTGTGGGGTCCAGCCTGGGGTCACCCAGACCCTGATGCCCTGCAGCCAGAGCTCAGCACAGGGGTCAGTCAGCAGATGGGAGGGATGGATGGATGGATTTGCCCTCCTGTTCATGGAATTCTGATCTTTTTATGGGCACTGCTCCATTTTGTGCAGTACAATACAGAATAAGACCTCTTGTTTCTTTTCTCCTGTACGTCTCCTCAAGGGAATTTCCTGGCATATGCATCCCTTATCTTCTCAGCTGACCTTTTGGTCTTCCTTTAAATAGGTTTTCTCCAGTCTGTGCTCTCTTCAGCTTCTTGAAACTCTTCATTTGTTTTTTTGGGGTGGAAGGAGGAAGGCATAAAACATGACAGATCCTCCTTTTTGCAGTGTTTGACAAGCTTGTTGCTGCCTCTGTATGTGCTGAGTGTCAGCATCTTCAGCTCTCCTCCTTTCTGCGTAGTGCTCTTTCCTCATTCTGCTTTTAAATAACTCTTCTCTGAAGAAGTGAAGCCTCTCAGGTTATTTTTCTGTTGTTCTGCCCCAAGTGCAGTGGAGGTGCAGCTGTGGGTTTCTAAATAGGTCCTAAGCCTCCATCCCTGAGAAATCCCCATTGTCCTGTGATTTTCTGGGTGTCCCAGCCCTGCCATCACCACGATCCAGAGCTGCTCAGACCCATTACCCTGGCTGTCTAAAGCAGCTTTGGTG